AGTATGCCCAGGGCTGTTCGAGGAGCTGATGATAGCTAACATTAAAAATGAAGAATAATCTCCCAGTTCTGTACTTCAAGCTCAGTATTTATTTTCCTTTCCAGACTATGACATTGGACTTGGGTATGAAGTACGTACTTGAGCTGTATACTGAGGCTGTGGTTTACCAATGCTTCTCTGCATTTTCTTGCCTAGTGCTTCAGTGGTGGGTCCACATTCCTTCTCCTGCTTTGCAAAGGCCGTTTTATATGGTTACGTTCTGCTGAACTGGCTACAAAATCAGTCAGCTTCCCCACCGAGGCTGTGCCTGTTCATATCTCATCTCAAACTGTGGAACAATGCTCCTCTGATTAATTTGTGCTTTCTCTCAAAGTAAGACTGTAGTCTCTTTTTGCTTTTATGATTTGATTGAGATCAAATTAACAGCAGAGAGATGTGTGCAGATTCCTATCAATAAATGGTTTGTTTAAAATAAATGAATGCTGTATTTTGGGCCCTGGTTCTACATTACAGCAGGCAATGAAGAAAAACAAAATACAGAAGAAAAACTGAGGGATTTTTGGCACACAGATGGGTTTACAGAGTATCAATGGTGCTGCTGTATTGCTAATTATAAATTCACTTTAGTTTGGCAAAAAACTGGAGAACTCATTTGACTGTAGGTGCAGAATATGCTGTAGCAGTTGAACTCACTACTTTGCTGAATTGGTGATGCTAGAAGTTAATAAAGTTATTAAAGTAGGATCTTGGTTTGATGATCAATACTAGGCCTTGTACTAAAGGGAAAATGGTGAAGGCTCCAACACTTTCTGTGTATTTCTCACAACTGTTTTTAGTAATAGAAATGAGTAGAGTTACAATTACTGTCAGGTTTTGGGTTTTGTTTTGTGCCTCATTTCTGTACGTCTTCTAAACCTGTGCTGAAGTACTTGTCACACATGCTGACCAGTTTTGTTTGGCAAAGTTTTGTTACACTTGGCAGGCTTCTGTCTTGCTACAAGAAGTCAGAGTGTAGTGACGTGATATACTACTACTCTGAAAACAACCACAACCCAGTCTGACTCCCGAGCGTCAACAAGGCAGCTTAATATTATCCAGACTGATGTATTTCTTTAAGCTTCTATTTGTCCCTGCAAACTTTCCTACTGGCGTGAGATTTATTTTTTCACTTGATAATAGGCATCACTACTATGTATATTTGTATCTGACTGTGGGTAAACTTTAATGTTTAGAAAAGTGTTTGAGATTCCAGTTTTACAAACAGTGTGATCTGAGCTGAAGAACAGGTTTGTCTTCTCAATTAAAAGGAGTTTTCCTCAATCAAATGTAGAGTTACACTGTATAGCATAATTAGTGCAAACAGCCTAGAAAGGTAACTAAGGTAATGTCTCCATCTCTTGTCATCACAAGAGAAGATAATCGCAAATCAGGTGAAGACACTTAAACTGTTACAGAAAAGAGATTGATAGAAGGTGGCATAGATAAATAAAAATTAATTTGACCTTTGATATGTGTCACTAACATGAAGGCTGCAGGCTGGTGTGGAGTAAACATTTAAATTGGTGAGTGTGAGGTTGGTGAGCCAGTATAGGTGAAAATACGTGCAGCATTTTTGTGGGTAATACAGTGAACTCAGAAATGGGAAGCAAACTCGGAGAAAGTTGTCTATTTGGACTAATAAGGGCTGTTTTTAAAATGGTACTTTGGACACATGGCAGGAAAGGCAAAGGTGGACTGGCCAGATGAAGATTGAAATGTGTAAAAGATTGAAGAAAGAATTGTTGTGGGTGCTAGAGAGAAAGAGGCAATGCAGTTTTATGTAGTAGGCTGTGTAAGGTCTGTAAATGTAGTTAAACATTGAGGCTGGATACCAAGAGAGGGAAGGATAAGGATAAACTGGAAAGCAATTAAATGCAGTTTTGGATGAGAACAATGATAAAATACTTCCAAATCTTCATTACAGAGATGGAAAATAATGAAAATGCAGTGAAAAACTGAGGGCAGAACTGAAAGTTGCATTGGCAGATTAATAACATCAGTATTAGGAAATGTTCTTCAGATGCTCATTCCAAGGACACCTGGAAAGGTACGGTTAATAGCAAAGGTCAGAAAGGCCTGGTGAAAGATGAAATTAGGCTAAATTTCAGCTATTGTATAAATGCTCCTCCCCCTTCAGTCCAGGCAAAAAGTGGAAGTAATAAAAAGATTAGAATTTTCAGAAAGACCTGACATACCTGTATGACTAAATAAATAATTATTTAAATGATATTTAGGTTTTTTTGCATAATAAAAAAATTTGTAGCTAAGCAGCAAGCTGAAAATAAAAACCACCAATTTTTGCAGAATATTTCTTGTGTGAACGTGGTAGAGCATTTATATAGTGACTAGTTATTTTGAATGTGATCCCTGCTTAATCACTATTGTGAGATTTCCTTCAAATATATTACTATTTCTGTACCTGGATCCATGGCTTCCTCTGCTTCTCACCTTCTTCTAAAGGAAGGGGTGAGGTCCAGGATCAGAACATGGTTTGGAGACACAGTGAGCAGACAGGCCGTGCGGGTCGCCACAGCCAGGTCAAAGTACTTACAAAGTACTTTGCTCCTAGAAGAATCGGAGTGCAGAGGGACAGTTTCACTCCCTGCCAGCAGTAAAACAGGGAGGCGAGATCTGGTTACTGTGACCTCGGAGGTGGAGACGCATAGGTAAGCGGGCTGAGAAGGGAGAAGCGTGTGCAAAGCAGCATGGGAAAGCAGCTGTAGGATTGTCGGAATATTTCTAAGCAGAGACACAATCATCCAGACATCACTGGGAGGTTACTTGCTCTGATATGCAAGGAACCCTAATTAATAATAATGTCAACAGCTTTACAGCAATTTGCTGGTTGCATCAGTGACAGGTTTGAATTGCATGAGCGAGTCCCTGCCTGTGTTGAGTACACAGGCCTGTGCCTGAGGCAGACTGCCTTGTAAACACATCTTAAATTGTATCAGTGATATTTCCAAAATACTTATTAGTGTTCCTTCAGGAGTGGTCAGGTGGTTGAAACATCACTTCCATGCTTTCATTGCACAGAGGTGGCCTGAAAGGAGATGAAGGATTAAAACTAAACAGTTTGGCAGGGTTTTGGCAAGGGATGCCAAAATAGTCCCAAATTTTGTCTAGGGTATGGCTGACAGGTCGGTAGGCACGGAGGGTAGTGTAACTGATAGTTCCTTCTAGGTAGGTGATCTGGAGCTTGACTGAGACCTTAAAGATAGGACCTGTCTGTTCCCTGTTGGCAGCCCATCCTCACCACAGAAATACTGTTTGCCAGCCCTGCTTCAGAGGAGAGAGCATAATTAGCCTTATGTATATTCCAAGTGATTAGCATTGTGTTCCATAAAATATAAACTGGTATTTGATTTTATTCATAATATTGGGTATTGTCCTCTTGAGAAGATGCCGTTCCACCTTCAGTTCTGCTTCTTCCTCCTTGCTTAAAGGGTAGATAGCAAGAAAGGAAGAGTCCCTGTTTTCCCACCTCTCCTTTAGTTTGAATAGGTAACTTGCTGTTCTATCAAATTCAAGCAGGAATACATCCAATATACAGAAGTTCAAATAAGATCACTGGTGTTGTCTTACAGTGTCCCTTTAAGTGAACCAAAGCACAGTGCAGTGTTGGGTGCTGTTTGGAGACAAGTTATATGGACACAATATGCTGTACATGTTAGAAATCTGAGCTATTTCCAAGCATGGGGAAAATGATTTTATAAAACAAATGAAAAAAACCAAAAACCAAACCCAGACCTCAGCACTGAACTTTGTTTGAGGACTGAAAAGACTCCAGAATATCCTTCTGAAATGGAGAGTGAACAATTTTGTCTTTACAAAAGCGGCTCAATTTTCTGTGCATGTAGAGTGAGTACTGTGGCCTGTCAGACCTTTGAGAAGCAGTTGCTCACCACTTCCTCTTGCATATCGGACCTGAAAATCCAGGAAGCATGGTGCTCCATGAAAATCCATGCAGGACATGGTGCTCCAGAAGCTTACGCACCCTCTTTTCTGAGGTTTCTGTAGCTCAAGAAGAATGGTCAGAACAAGGAAAAGACAAAGAACAAGGAAGACAGTCCTATGATAGGTTCTACTTTTACCTCAGAGTTGAGGCAAAAGGACTTGAAATTTTGGCATGGAACTGAGTGAGTTGTAGAAATGGGCAGGAAATTTGAAGGACTGGCAGGCCTTACACTAGTGTGACAACTCCTTTCTAGTAGTAGCTCACATCTACGTGATATTGGCCTGTTTGCTGGTGACAGATGGGCTTTGACAGTTTGAGAGTATTAAGTTAGAAATGCCAGTCATGCATTTCTGACTGGGGAAGGTAGCTCTGAACCGTGTGCTGGTTCTGTGCAGTTGCTAGAGAAATCCTCTTGTAAATGCTGACACTCTGCAACCACTGCTCACATCCTAGACTAGATGACGCCATGTCTAGTAACCTCTCTGCTTTGCAGCAGGGGTTGGTATGAACACTTTCTGTCCACTGAATGTATAATCTGGTTTGTGGTCTTGGTTCAGAAGTAAATGTTGAACACCTCTGAAATCTGCCCTGTAGCTGTAACCATCAGGTCCTCTCATAACATATTCTGTGAAACGGGGACACCAACCACTGCAGTGGGAAAAGAAGAGGGATATGAGAGGAAAGAATGTGACTTTCATACGTCTTAGAGTAGGAAACTTTCTCTCCCTGGACAAATAAGTGGCTTCCTTCACTTATACTAAGAAGCTGATATTTTTTTTTTTGTCTTCTTGGTGTTCTGTCATCACCACTTGCAAGAGGAAAGCAAAATACCATTTCACATTTGGGTAGTATGCTCATAGAAATTCATCTGCCTGATAAAGACTACAGAAATCAGAGTATAGATCAAGTCATACATCACGGAGAATCTCTGAGTTGTACTAACTTTACTGTTTTTTCAGTCTTGCATTTCAGAACCTTACCATTTTTTGCTTGTGTCCTATAGGTAAGGCACAGAACTTCAGACCAGGTAATGGCTTTGAAGATGAACACTTTGAACAGCAACAGAGCAAACATGCTGAAAGAGGTTCAGCTTATGAATAGACTCTCGCATCCAAACATCTTAAGGTATACTGTCTTTTTTCTGAATTCTATAGAGATAGGTTGTCTTTAGTAGCACTTTCCTATTTCCAATTTAAAAAAAATATATTATAGCTGTATATGTTGTGAATGTGTTGGGATCAACTTCTAATTTAATGGAAGAAAGGGAGGAGGAAGAAAAGAGAAAGAGAGACTTGAGCAAATTGAAATTCCACACGATTTTCCTATCTGGACTTTACCAGTAATGAGTAACTTATTTCAGAGAAAAACAAGTTTTCACCTTATAAGTTGCTGATGAATCAGTAAAATTATATGAAGAGTGAAATTTAGCTTCTCTTCATGAACTTAAATTATTGTAAATTTAACACCATTTAAATAATCTGTGGTTACTAATCTTGCACATTAACAATGCAAAGTGCCATAGCTTCCTCTTATTTTTAGGTCTCTTTCCTAGTTTTTAGCATTTCCTTATTGTAGTACTGCAGGGCAGGATAAGAGGGACTGGAGAAAAGAAGCTAGATTTGAACTACTCTGATTTTAGCTGCTCTTGAAAGTAAAAAGGTAGTTCTTGTTTTGCAATAGATTAGTGGATGCAAATCCAAAATGTTTCAATGCATATCTTGTTATTCTTTGAATCTTCTCAGTCTTGGTTACTTTTTTAGAATGATGTGACAAGCAATTAACATAATTAGCTGAAGCCATAACATTAAGAAGATCAACGGTCTGATGACAGTGTACCAAATAACCGGTTCTCCTGAACTGCTGTTGTACAGCTGGGATCCATTTTTATAGTCTCAGGCAGTATAGCTCTTTCTGAAAAGCTTTGGAGAGACAGTGAACTTTAAGTAACTTAATTTCCTCTTCTTCACCTGACTGTTAAATAGTACAGACATAGTACTGCTTGCTAAAATCCTTTGTAACCAACTTTTCTGATCCTTGAAATCCTGGCTCAGTCATCAGCTGATGCGTAACACTATTATTTTGTTTGTTTCCCTCAGTATTTATGTCGAGACATCAGAGGCCCTTGCCCTGTCTGTAGGGAGCATTCCATTGATTCATGCCTATTTTCTATTATTTTTTTCTTAAAACCCCCAAAACCTGTGAACATAGAGAATTTTTACTCATAGTAAACTGTCTTGGTTTTATCACAATCTATTTATTCAAGTGTTGTAGTAATCTGTCCCTAATTAGAATTCTTAGTCTGTTTTCTCTGCTCCAAGGTGAGGTGAGATCCCAACTCCTCTGGCTTTTCTGTTTGTTTGTTTTTCAATGATGTCAGATATCTGTCTTTACATTTCAGGATCATTAATTGTTTCTTATATCTATCCACAATTTCCCTCAGAGTCTTTAGATAAGCAGCGTATGATCCTGGGGACCAATAAAACTGCATTTTTAGTAAAGTTTGTGGAAAGAATAACTTCATAGGATTGGCATTGTCAGAGTCATGAAGTCAGGACACTCCATCATCGGCTTCTTTATCAACTTTGTATCATTTGCAAATCCTTATTTTAAAATCTTCTAGCTGTACAGCTCTGTTCAAAATAAAGTATTTAATGGGGTGAGGGAAAGTCGGAAAGGGATAGTTTGACAGGCAGAAAGCATTCTGTTGCAGGTTAATGTACCCTTGCCCTGCCTTGAATGGAGTTACACAGGTGTTGCTGATAACAAAAGTTATTGGCTCAGTTCTGAGTAATTGCTGAAATTTAAATGTCTTACGATGCCTCAGAGATCATATTGATGATATACTGGTCCCCTCTGGCTTTAAAGCCTATGAATAATTTGAAGTTAGTGCTGTTGCACAGATGGTCTTGAAGAAAGAACAGTAATGTATTGATTTATGCATGCAGCAGAAAAGGAATTCCACTTGGTCTCCCAGTTATTACACAGGATTGATAGAGAAATCCTTTTTTTTCTGTGTGCTCAACTATGCAGTTAGGAGTGAATACACAAGAAATAAATTACCTAAATAGAAATGGTTTATCTTTGCATAATTTGTTTTGAAGAATAAATTACATTTGCTTTGTGAATTGCTTGATTTGAGGCTTCTTCAGAGAATTGTCTCTCTGGTAAAAAATACTGCCTTTTTCTTAGGTATTAGGTAAGTAACCTTGCTGCAGGCAGCAAGGACATTGCTACAGAAAATGCAAGTGAGAAAACTGTATTTAGTTTTAGTTTATTCTTTTATTGAATAATAATACATACTAAAACCTTTTTTTTTTCTTTCTGTAGCAGGTAACTTGGTGGCTTTGCTTGTTGGTTATGTGTAATTTTATTTTTGGTTTAAAATAACTTACTGCAGTGTTTCCAGTCAGTTTATACCTGGGAGAAGATTTTGCACTTCTGAAATGTTACCTGCCTATGTGTTTATGCATACCTGTGTGTGTGTGTGTGTGTGTGTGCATGCAAAGAACTCTATTTATGTTTCAGAAACATATAAATCATTGGTGCTTCTATTAGTGTGGTAAAAATTAGTTTAGGACTTACTTCCCACTTCAGAAACACGTTAAAATTAATATTTGATAACAATTTGCTTTTATAGTAAAGTGAGAAGTAACAACATCATGTTGTCAAGTAAGAACAACTGGAGTAGTACTGCTGAGAGGTTGCTAGGAAAATGTTCTACAACATGTTCCTGCTTAAACATTTTCTGGGATTATTTTTGGAAATTTTAAGCTTGTGTTAGTATTTAAAGGGAATGATCCTCTTCCAAGAAGTTCTAAGATATAACTTCCTGTTTCCAGGGACTATGAGCTACTTCATTTTGCTGTTAAATGTTATTTTCTTCGCTTAATTTCTAATCTTTGGAGTTCTTCTTCTGTATTACTGAGTAAGCTGTTTTGTCACTAGCATCAAGTTTAATTATTTATTGATTAGTCACTGGATCTCCTCCACATACCTTGAAGGTGTACTCTGATTTTATGTAATATATACATTTGAGTTTCTAAATCTTCTGTAAGCTCTAGGATTACCTACTGTTAACTTGTGCTGTAAACAAGTTGCTTTCCTTAGTGCTGATCTGTTGTTTGCCAGTAAGGATACTAGGGGGTTCTTAGGCTGAAATGTTGAGATCTTGTGCAGTAGTTAATTGTAGCAGGTAAAAGGCTGTGAGATGATATCAAATGGCTTGTAAAAATATGAAACTGGATAGATACTGGCTTTACAGCATCCAAAGTCTGCTCTCAGCCTGTTTCAACACCTGCAGTTCAGTCAGTTCATGTTTTAGAAAGTAAATGTTGGATTCGGAAACGATGCATTTATTTTAGTATACTAAAATCTTCCTTAATCTGGGTGTGGTTATGTTTTTGAACATCCTGATGCTTTAGTGCTTTTTTTGAAGCAATATTTTCATCCTAGAACTTTTTCCTGATTTACATGAACTAAGTGATATGGAAGAGAGAGGAGATTCCTTTTCCTAGCGTATTTGATAGCTAAAAATCATTGTTATCTCTTGGATGATTAAAAACCCATCTCTTTGCCAGTGCTCCAAAATACATAGCAACTTTTTACAAGCTATGCATTCAAACGTGCCCACAGTTAACTTCAAGATGTTATTGCAAAGATTCTTGTATTTTTGCCATTGATTGCACTGAAACTGCTTTTCCTTATGTGCTGTCTGCATCAACTCATTTGCACTGTTACAGATGCTTTTTGAGGTTTTTACCCTGGCCTGCAACCACCATTCTGGAGTGTGAGTTTGTCAGTCCTTGCTGATGTTCTTCCATTCCTTAGCTCAGCAGAGATGACCTAGAGGCAGGCCTGGGCTCTTATCTTCATGGTACTTTTGTACTACTGTAGGAGATGGAGTTGTGTCGCTGTATTTCAGTTTCACTGCTTCTAATACAGTCTGGTTATTTAGGCTTTAAAAATAACTTGTGTTGCTGGCCATGGAGTGAAATGCTAACTTGAAATATCCTCACTCATTTCAGTACTTCTGTGCTCAAATTCTGCTCTTGGCCAGCTATGTAGACACATCTTGATCAGAAGACTGATCTAAGTGAAGAGGTTAGTTTTCACTTGCCAAGTCCCCTAATAAGTATACCATCCCCATGGTAGCATCACAGAGATTCTAGTGGTCATATATATATATATATATATATATGAAATTCTAATGTATTTTCCATCAAAAAATGAGAATCTGTCTTCTATTAAAGGGATTATTTCAGCAAAATTTGAACCTCTATCAAACTGTTAAGGATATTTTGGAATAGAAGCCTCCAGCTGTTGCAGCTACATTGGCATGATGGTAAAAAGGGGATTTAGAGTTTTGGGTTTGGTTTTTTTTTTCCTTCCCTCTTGCTTCCTATTTCAATTAGCAGATGTGATTCCAGAGGCAGAGTAGATTTTAACTGTAATATAGTAACTTTTTGTTTGGTCACTGTCTGGTGATCATAACAAACTGTATATGAAAGGTCTGCTTTTTTTGGTTTTGCTTTTTTCCCCAGGGACCAGCTTAGGGATATTTTAGGAGTGGATAGGACAAAACCAGACTAATGGTGTTCATGGAGTGCTCTGCTCTGTTTCTGGCGTCAACCCCATCTCATATCATCTCCCATCTCCACCTCACTCCTTCATGCAAACTAAACATGGAGGGCTGAAATGCTTTTCTGCCTCTGATCCACACTTCTCCTTGCCCTGGGTGTGGGATGTGCTGGCTTTATCACATCTTCCCCCAAAACAGATGGTAAGAGCAGGAGTGGAAAAATGAGCTGGGGTTCTGGTTTGCACCGTGCAATGTTTACTGTAGCTGCCTTAATACAGGTTGGCTGATACATGGTAAGACTAATTGCTGGGGTTAGGGGAACCAGAGGCTTGGAGCATTTCTTCACTTCCTTACTGGCTTGTGTCCCATTTAAAGCTCAATGCTGTTCAAGGCTTGGGTTAGATCTGGTTCCAGGGTTATGAGAGGTCTGGTGTATGCTTGTAAATGTTTTTCACTGCTTTGCTTCCTCTCTAAATGCTGATGTGCTGCCATAGTAATGAGTTTTTACTCAAATCAAAGTAAGATAATAGGGCTGGACCAGGACTCGAGAAATCTCTGTCCTTGTGTCCTAGGCTGGGAGCCTTAGGGCTGCAGCCTGAGAGAACCGATCCCTTTCTGTTCAGGTAATATCTTACAGGCATGTTTTTCTCATTCTCACAAATGAAGTGGTGTACTAACACAGATTCTCCATCTCCTGTGCCGTCTTTTAAATTAGTGTATCTTCAACTTTGAGATAGAATTTCAATCTTTAATATCACTACTGTTTGCATGAAAAAGTATTTCTTTATTTGATCTGTACCTTGGGGACTTCATTTAAAACATTCTGTACACAGAGAGCCTTAGCTTGTGTCTCAGGTGCTCTCCTGGGAGTGCTTGGAGATATTGCTGTGTGTTTGGGAGCGACCATGCAGGCAGATTGACTCATTGATTAAATCCACCTTCTTGTGTGCATGCACACACCCCCTCTTCCCCCATAAGCAAGCTTATTACATGAACTTCTTTCAAGGATAATTTTATTTCATCTCCTTTCAGACAAATTTAGCACCTTGGGAACACAATACCATTTTTTTGTGTGTGTGCAGTTTTCTGCTGTCAAACCTTCCTTTTTGCAAAATTTCTTGTGATTGACTTTGCTACAATAGGCAGAAGGATGGCTTTTGTCTTGGCATCCTTTCTCCTGTATTGAACAGTGCTATAACAGAAAAGAAAAATACTTTTACTTCTCTCTATGTAATGTGGTTATCAACAAGCAGTATGTTAGAAATGCTGTGCACAGGACAACAGAAGAAGGGCTGTATGCATTGTGTATAATATGTTACAGAAGGGACAGATGAAGTATAGAAAACTTAAAATAAATTTTTAATCTGGCATGGTGCCTAAAACATTAAGGAAGGTCTTAATGCACACTTAATATTCTTACTCACCCTCCTCTTCATTTTCTAACAGTCAGTGCAATGAAATAAGCATCTGTCTTTTGACCTTGTTTCTCTTTGTGTTGATGAGCTCATATAGGAGACTTTTGCTTTGGTGTGTTTGGTTTGTTTCTTATTTTTAATCTTATCATCAAACTGCTGCATTTTCTCATGCAAGCAGTAGATTTTAGAGGGCATTGACTTACTATGTTGGACTGTAGCTGCTCCAGGTTTATCCACAGAATAGGAACATGTTCCACTGAAGTCCTTTTAATAGGAATCCTGTGTTCAATGTCTAGGTGTCCACAGTGGCTGTATAATCTGAATATTGGTTTTGTTTGATTTGTCAAGGAAGCAAAGGTTGCAGGCTGAGGCTACAGTTCTTAGTCTCTCCCTCCTGTTCAGAATTTTCTCCCTTGCAGTCAGACTGAACTGAAAGCAGTTTGGGTAACTGCTGTTAACAGACTAAGAAATATCCAGGGTACCTTCTCTTGCTCTTGACTAGGAGGGCAGGTATTTCAGATCAATTGAGGAATAACCTGGTTTATGGAAAGAGACTTCCAGCATCTGAACATCACCGACACTTGTTAGAAAGCATTTTGTGCTGGAAATGTGCTGTGCTGTATTTAGTAGAGTGGACTCAAATAGCATCCTTCGTATTTGCAGCTTCTGGGGAAAAATTTCCAGCCACTAGTTACGATTTTGGAAGTGCTTCAGCTTTCCTGATAAGGCCAGTTACACTGTCTTGGAAATAAAACTTCCTTAAATCTGCAGATGGTCTCCTGTTTGTGGATGACTGGCTCACTGAAGCTTCTTCTAAGTAGGAATGCTTATAGGAAGTGTAACCTTTGGCTGACAAGACATTCTGATGAAGTTCACCTACAAGCACATTTTTGGCTCTGGAGACAGGGCGTCTAGCCAACAGGAATAATCTCAGCTGTACTGGGCCAGCATGTCAGCTTCCTATCCACAGAACCTGGAATCTCATCTGGGGCAATCTCAGAAATTGAAATCTTATGTTAAGTCTTGCTTGGTAACTCTATTTCCTGGTAGCAGCTGCATGTATTATCTTCTAGTGAAAATGCTTTCCAACAGTGTTCTGTGGCAGTACTTGGCTTAACCAAGAGGCTTATTATTGCTTGATATAGTAGCTAAGAAGTTGTTTTCCAGGAATTTGGATCACTAGAGGTCTATTCTATCAATCTGTTTTCCAGAGTATGAAAACTGAGATTCTTTACACAAAATTTAAATGGTTTCAATATGTTGCTTGTAAACTCATTAATTCTGTCTTTATCAGTGTATCTGGTTTCTCTTTTCCTGGGTAGTAACTTCTAAATATGTGAGGTTTATAAATGTATCTTTATGTTCAGCCTTTTTCCATGAGATCATTATATTGAGCTTTATTTTTAGATTCTGATTTAAAGTTAGAAATATATAATCTGTTTCCCAGTAGAAACTCTAAATGTTTTAAGAATTTTTGAACTCTTACTCTTGGTAACTTGAGCCAGTTTGTCTTTTCTGCCTTAAGTGTAGGTTCACAAAGGTGATGAATGTGTTTGCATTGAGATTTCCCATGTCCAAACCAGGTTGGCAGAAAAAGTTAAGTTCTACCAGTCTTTGTATGACACTGATGTCTTTCCTGTTTGGTAAAGATGAGACAAATATAATTTTGCCAAAATTTTGATAAAGTCTTAATTGCGTATTTTAGAATTAAGTCGAATACAATGAATTCCTAATTTGAAAGTAATGTAATACACCTTTAAAAAGGGAGAGTTGATATATAGATGAAAACATTGTTATTTTTAATTACTTAGCCTTGGTTTTTGTTGATTGAAAATACTGCATTACTGGGTTAATCTTGTGTCATTAGCATGTTTCATAAAAGAGAAAATAATCCTTTTAAAAGTTGTCTAATAGTGGAACTGTTTTCTTGGATTTTTTTTCCCATTTTGGCTCGTGAATAAATCTATTAACACTATGCTTGATAGCTCTGGAGACTTTCAGAATGCATTAAGGAAGATTTCTGCTCTGGAGGAGTCTCGATTTCTGAGTCTCAGGAAGCTTCATTTGTCAACTTGTTTACAAAATTGTTTATGTGCAATTGCTGTGTGAAGTGAACTCAGGAACAGCAATGTTTTGAGTAGAAAGTATATCTAGAAGAACTCTTCTTCCCTTTCCCCTGAATTCTGGGTTATGGCCTATTGCTCTTCATTAAACAAGAGGAATTGGATTTTCACTGTCTCTCAAATTAAAATGTGCATATTTAATTTGGGGAATATTATTTGACGTGAGAGCAGGCAGCAGACGTTCAAGTACAAGTCCTGCTTTTTCCTTGGTTATAAAAACAGATTTCCACAGCTCAGCTTACGCAAAGGACCTTACCTATGTTATTTTTCTTCAGCTGCCTGTAATTTACCAGTCAGCTGTTAGACAAGAGAACAGTGAGGATCATTCATTTCTTCAAAAGCAGCTTAGCTGAACTAGTACTACATGCGTCTTGCATCATTTTGTTTTTAAATTCAGAAGTGTTTGAGGATATAAAAGGTCCTTTTCCTTCAAATTGTTCTCCACAAGATTCCCCCTGTCACACTGAATTAAATTATGCATTCCTACTACTTGTTTGCAAAGAGGAAATTTCTAAACATTGTGGAAATGACAGACAGTCTGTTTTGGCTTGTTGAGGCCAAAATCTAAATTATAAACCTGAAAATTAGTTAATCTAAAAAGAACTGTTACTTTAACTGTGCAGGGAGGGCTCTGAAGTACATGTAAGTTTTACTCAACTTTCTCATGGGAGCTGTTTACTGTTAATATTAATTTGCATTTTGTCACTTTTAAGTTCAGCTTGTATGGTCGAAAAAATGAGCTTTCAGTTATTCCTCGTATGTTAAATGTGTAGCACATTCTCTATCGCTTCCCAGGAAGATCAGGGGTGACAGTCATTACTGTTAACAACAGGAGTCTGAACCTTGTGCAGTGTAGGTAACTTTTGTGGAATGTGTGTACACTGGATACTATCAAAACTTGCTTTAATCCAACTGTTAGAAATTGGGGGTTGGGGAGGGGAATTATACTGCATGTATGTGCCCTCATATTCCTGAGTGGTTAGGAATGGGATAGGAAGAAACATTTTTATGCTTAAGCAGCAAAATGCAAAGGGAAGTAATTTTCTATTTATGCAGACCCAACAGTGGATTACTTGGCTTAAACTTCCTTAAAACAGAACTCTGAGACTGTTCCTTTCTGTGTAAATCATTATATGCTTGCCTTTGCTTATAGTCAAATTAGTAACTTACCATCTTGAATTTGAGCTGTCTCCTGTGCTCTCTTGGAACTGCTAATTCAAATTACACTGTAGTGTAGACACATGATTTTATTTTGTGCTGAGATATTTAAATAATCAGCCTTGAGGTATACAGTATCTGTGAGGTTGAATTTTTTCTTTTTCCTTCTTTCTGGCATATCCACTACTTATCTTAGTTTCTTTGAAGAAAAAAAAAAAAAAAAGAGGGGGGGAAAAAAGCCCAAACCACTTTTCTTTTCTTGTTTCTTGTAGGTTTATGGGTGTCTGTGTGCATCAAGGACAGCTGCACGCACTTACTGAGGTAAGACTTATTTCATGATATACATATTCAATATGAAACAATTCTCAGGCCAGATGCTGCAACTGCTGTTCACCTTGAGTGATAGTTTCTTTGATGGTGACTTGTCAGTTAATCACATGCCACTTGCTGTGCAGTGGGAACACTGCAGAGTCAGGCCTCAGAACTGTACTTTGCTGATAGCCCTTGTATGACTTTTCTCATCAAAAGTGCTTATTAGGGTGAAAAAAAATCACAGTAGGAACATAAAATCTCACTAATAATATTCTAAATGAGAGATGTGGATTACCTTGAGCTGCCCCTCAGTGTTATTTGTTTCAGTGACATTGCATTGTATTTAAGTCTTATTTATACACCAGTTGTGTGTACGTTTCCCAGGTGAATCAGGGACGTTTCAGCTGGGTGGTATTAGTGTATTCAGTCCCTACCACTTTCTTATTTGGAATAACACAAGTTTACAGCTTAATCTGGGTCCCATAAAAAGGAATTATTCCATTGCCCATATACCCTGCCCAAGATCTAGGTATTGAATGAGAAACTCAGGTTTCTGTTCGTGTGAGTTTTCCCAGCAAGTTTTACCGTGTTGTATGTTTAATGCCCCATGTAAACTACTCAGGAAAAACAAGAAGGGAGTATTCTCCTGTTAGGAATGGCATTGCCTGTTTTGAGTCAAAATCAGTAAAAGATTTTTCCTGCTGTATTTTTTTTTTTGATACAGATTGAAGGGAAACTCATGTTTTGTTGTTTCTTATTTACTTCTATTTTGTTGGACCTGCTCAATTAAAAGATTAACCCTTTCCCATGCCCCGAAGACAAGTCTGTTATTAATTAGCAGTTAAAACAAGCTCCTGGTATGCTTGCTAAGAACTACTGTAAAATGAGAAGATTGGATAGCTGTATGCCAGTTATCAGGAAGTGTGTGGCCATCATCTTCTGTAACTTTCATATGCAACTCTGAGGCAAAGAGGCACATGTGTGGGCAGTGAATTTCTTCACCTTCTGGGGTGACAATTCTGCAGTTCTAGTTACTACTAGAGTGATGCACACTAGTTCACAGTGGCCATATTTCTAATGTAAGAGCAAAGGTAAAGACACTTTCAGAAATTTCAAGATACAGCATATGTGGGGGGACCCCCTTTGATATGAGAGGGAGAGTTTATCTTTTCCCCCCCCTCCCCCACCCCCTCCTGTGCCCAGAGGAAACATTTCTAAGATTTGTCATTAGATGGCTGATCAAGTCCTTCAGGCAGGCTTTGCCAGTTTCTTTTGGACCTCTGATCAGTTAAAACAGGGAGGTTTCAGGCCCATCCTCTCACTAAACATGTCCTAGAAGATAGGGAGCTTCATAACGCTTTGTTATATTAAATCTTGGCAGATCTTCTTCAGTGTACTTTTTTGGGTTTGTTTGTTTGTTTTTACCCCTTCATCCCAGTTGCTTGCCATGTAAATGTCCCTCCCCAACCAAAGCCAAGAAAGTGATACCAGCACAGATGCTTCCTCATGGAGAGCTAACTTTGTAGCTGCTTACTTTGTTCAGCTATTTTTGAGTCCTTGGCAAGCAAATAAACCTAAGAAAGACTTAAAATAATAACTTTTTATAGTTATAATTCAGAGTAACAGAAGGGATTCCTGAAACATCTTGAGACCAAAAAGGAAAAGTTTTACCCTGAAGACAGTTGCTGCAAAATTTTGGAAATGGAATAGCTTTAGTGATGTGTTTTAGAAGTACATGTAGTGGTCACTGCTTTTCTTATGTGGACCAAGAGAGACATTTAATGCCCTCAATAGGAAAAAGCACAACCAAAGGCCAATGTAAGTTGATGTTGTAGGGAATCCACACACAGTTTTGTCCAATACAGTAGCTGTTCTTTGGTTTTACAAAACTTTCAAAAGTTAAGAGCTGTGTATGTTTCAAGTGGAATTAGTTGTGTTTTCTGGCAATAGTAGTGGCATTTTTAATCTTGATTAGTGTGTAGAGTAATAGTTGAGTTCTGAAGACTTCTGGAGGTTAGAGAAGGGAGGGGGGTGCTGAAATGGCTAGCTGAAGGAATTATTAGTAAAACGGATGTGGTAAATCACCAGTTCAAATATAGCCCAGGAGGATAAACGAATTGGCCAATCTGGTGGCTTTTTTCAGCTTGTGGTCCAAAAACGTGGCCTCCTCGCTTCCAGTGCTCAACATAATTGATAAACCTGACTCTACTAGCACTCAGAAAACTTCTGCCAGGTTTTCACTTCTTTGGAGGTGAAACTGTTGATTCAGAGAGCTGTTGCTCAGTAGGTATATGAGTCACTGCAAGGAGAACCCTCTCTCACAGCAGCCTACGCTGGACCTGTTCTGTAAGGAACTTAATTATCCCTTGTGTTTTGCAAGTACAGTTGATGATGTGCCTCAGTGAAAGGATACAGCATCACTTAGAGCTTATGTGTGAGGGCGAGATGGGAAATCATGTTTATTTGTATGTATATGTTTCCAGGACAGACAAAGTTGAGAACTCGAGGCAAATGTTCGGTGAATCAATTTAGACACAGGCTTACTAGCCTTCTGTGCTAGTAACAGGCAGGGCAACAACCACAAATGGTGTTGGAGGAGCCTTGAGGATTTTATAAGTCTGTTAAGGGGCTACATTAGTAGTATACAGCACTTTGTTATTCAAAGCCAGAGTCTGAAGCGTTACAGATTTCTTTTCTTGCATGTTTAAACACAGGGAGGCTGAACACTGTGAATCATGCAAAGCAGGTTTTTTTGCTTGGGGAAGGTGTTGATCGTGTGTAGGCCTTGGGTTTTTCCCTTTTGGCAGCATTTTACATTGTTTTAATTGTCCTCTCTCAAGTGGCTTTTGTTTTTAAAACTGTTGAGCAAGAAGCAGTTTCTGTTTGGTTTGGTTTGTTTTTTTCCAAAATAAGAATGGAATTGTTTAATTATAGGCTGCACTAGGACTCTGGCCTTGCTCTGAATCCACAGTCTTATCAGTTTTGAAAATTCAATATTGTTCCTGAAGTCCTACTCAATCCAGAAGCTGTGGCATATGACTCTCTTGAAGTAGTTCAGTATCTGTCCATAGAGTCAGAGTTTAGGTTGGCAGGGATCTCTATCCTTGCAAGCACATAGTTAAAAAACATTTAGGGAAGGCGAAGCAGGTGCTTTAATAGGTGTACCACTCAAATGAGCTGGCAAGCACTAGACTGCCTCACTGACTTTGAGCTGATGGGCACAGATTTGCTGCGCTTATTTCTGTAAAAATTTTTCTGGGTGTTCGTTTCTCTCTATTCAGCTGTAATCAGTAGCTCGTGGTTTGTTTCTGTAGCTACAAGAATCTGCAGGGCTTCCTGCTGTACTTACATGCCTCTCCAACCTAATTTCAGCCTCTCCTTCAAGCCTCTCTGTTTTCTGGCCACTTTACTAATCTGACAACTCTCTGTTCGCTTCCATTTCTTAATTTCCTGGCACATAGCATCCTCAGACTTGGAGAAACTTGCATAGTAGTACAGGCTCTGGTGTCAGTTAACATGAGATGCTGCTGAGCATTCAGAGAGCAGATGTGAGCCACTGCCAGGAGGTCAGCAGGCAGCGTACGCTCCCTGGGACACGAAGCTATGAGCCAGTTAGTGTGGAGCAGCCATGGCTTAATGGCAACAGCGTGTGATCTTCTCCCGTGCACATTTACCATGGAATGGACGCATGAGCAAGCACCCGTGTTAGATGGGAGGCAAACAAATTTATTTTGGCGTTGCAGGTTCTATAGGCCCATGCTGTTAGACCGAAGCAGGTAATGCAGCATACAGTCTAGCACAGAAAAGCCACTTAATACCTTTTTGCAGATCTTAAATTATTTGTTGAACTCTGTTAAGCAGGTTTATCTGAATTTCTAAGAGAGAGGTCAGGCTAAAATCTTGTTATAATTAGATGTATATATATGCAAAGAATGAGTCATACAGCTTGATAATTCCTTCTTGAAGGAAATGAAAACCCTGACAGCTGTGTGTATAGAAAATGAGAAAGGGAGAGATATTATGTGTTGATTTGGCTATCTTGAAATTGCAGTGCTTCACAAACAATAGCTAATTGTTACAACAGAAGTTTTATGGCTATTAATTCATACTGGATGATAGTAAAAAAGTGCACAAATGCTCTGCTGCCACAATCTGAAGCTGTAGCTTTACTTGCTCAGTGCAGGATGTGACATGCATTGGAGCTTTGTCAGGCAGGGAGCTGGGCTGGGGAACACATGATGTGGGATGGAGGGGTGGACAGTTGAGTTTCAGCTGGCAGCTGAATCTACTGTCTGCCTGATGTGCCTCTCCTACAGTCTTTCAGTCTTTCTTCTTGCTGATGTACTTACTACCTAGTCAGTCCTTCTGATTCCATCCCAAGTATCTGGTGTGATATTAGATGTTTCATGGGTCTAAGAGTGTATTTGGGCAGCCTTGGGTTTAAGGTGCTGTGTACGTGGCATTGGAACAATGGTGAGATGACTGTAAGGGGCGAGCCAGCCTTTGCTCCTGGCTCCTCCAGTGCATCCTGCTCCGTCAGTTCTCCTTATCAGCTGCCTCACGTACTGCACCTTACAGGTGCTGTGTGCAGGGGTGCATGGAAGTGCCTTGAAGTCTAAACAGTTTCCTGAGTGCTCAGAGTGCTTTTGTCCACAATAATGCGTGCTGGCGACGTATAGAATGGACAACAGAGTTTAATGCAGATGTATGTCTCAAAAAGTGCTGTAAGAAAAATCTGGACTGCTGCTTTCACTTCTTTTTAAGGTAATCCACAGAATTCTTTGAACTCGTGCACGTTTTCAGTTCAATTAATTTTTTTATAACTGTTTCATAAACCCCAGGAAAAAATTTACTACGGAAATCCTTCTAGACATGTTAATTTTTATCTTGGGCAAGATAATTGCTATTGGACAATTTTGACATGTTGCACTGTAACAGCTTACTGAATTTGACACTGCTGTTTTTTACATCAACCACAATTCATTGTTTTGAGACAAGAATGCTGTTAT